CAGTGGTGGGGTTGGGCGACGGTTGGGGCGGTGGGGATAGGGATTGGGGTGGTTGTGGTGTTGAGGGTTGCAGAGGTATTTTGGTGGGGGGCAGGGGTATTTTGGGCAATGTGACCCATTAGTCAACTTCCACTAAAAATGAGCAAAAGTCAAACCTAGGAACTTATAATCCGGAATAATCCGGATGGAGGGAGTAATGTTTAAAAAATAATAAGTAAAATCCCACCCAATTTGTGGGATTAAATTGAGTTCTTGTAACGAAAAATCAAGCTCGGTCTTTGAATCAAATATTTTATCAAAATCAACTCCTCAAATGTAATAACAAAGTATTTATGTTTTTCATAATCTTGACATTCTTGAGGCAATTTAGTTATTCTATTCAACTCTCAAATCTTTTGGCATTTTTAAAAAATAAATCAATAACAAAGAAAATTGTTGACCAAAATAAATTAAAGAGTAAATAATGCAGAATATGTATAAGAATAAAGGGATAGAGAAAAGAAATGTATCCTAAAAATATATGCTTAAGTCTAAAGCGATTTAATTTGGTTTTCAAAGCCCAAAATCGATGCAAATTATATGGTACATCCAGCTGTACCTTCCTTTAGGTACAACCAGGTATTTTTGTAATATTTGCAAACTTTATGTCCCTTAGTTACTCTATTTCTTTCCTTTTCCGATCTCCTTTTTTCTCTCCCCTTTTTCTTCATCGTTCTTCTCTTCCCTTTTCTTCTCTTCCGCTTTCTGCGCTGCGGCTTTCTTCATCATTCTTCTCTTCCGCTTCTTTTTCTTTCGTTGTTCTCTCCCATGGAACCAGATATTAATCTTCTTGGTAATTCTGAGCTTCGGTCCCTTCAATCTAAATCTCCAGGTGATAATTTTTTGGGCATTAATTAACTAAATTTTGCAGTGTTCTTCTCACTCGAATTTAGCAATCTTAATCTCCAGCAGAAACTTTTTCCCAATTCCAATTTTAATTCACATCTTTCATTTTTCAGATTTTAGTTTATATGAAGGCCAATTAATAGAAGCAATTGAGAGTTGTGGAGAAATTGTAAACTTCCCAACCCCAACCCCTTCTCGTAAATTTCCTAAATTTTGTATATCATTTTCTACTTTGTAAATGCATTCCCTCTGTTCATATGGATGAACTTTACTAAAAATGAGTACCAGTATACATGCCAATGTGTTATGACAGATACTACAATGGAAATAATTAAATCTGTCCATATTTCCTCTGTACATATTCCCTCTGTTCTTATTTGGTACTTTTTTAATTTTATAGCTGGATGTAATGTACCTGATTTTCAACATACGTCTCGGGTGTTATCTAATGATGAGTTGATAGATTCTACCATTCTTGTTCAAGAGGCAGAAACATCAGAATTAATTGGCAAAAAAGTAAATTCAGAGAAAGAGGCATTTGATTTTTATAATGAATATGCATTTAGGATTGGTTTTGGTATTCGTTATTCAACTTTAAGGAAAGGTCAGAATGGTTTTAGTATCAGGGGGAGAGAGTTTTGTTGTAATAAAGAAGCTAAAAAAAGATCAAAAGGGCTATTGGGAAAAAATTCACCAAAGTTGATCGACACACTGGTTGTCAAGCTAAAGTTTACTTTGAATTGAAGGATAATGGTGATTGGGTTGTAGTTAGACATTTGATGGAACACAATCATTCGTTTTGCCCTTCTTCATTGGTTCACCATGTAAGATCACATAGAGATATTTCTCAAGAACAGCTGTCATATCTTAATCTTTTAAAACAACAAGAGGTTAAAGTTGCTGATGCATTTCGTTGTTTGAGGACAGAAGCTGGGGGGGTCACCTGCGGTTGGTTTTGCATTGAGAGATATTTATAACAATTTGGCAAAAGACGCTAAAAGGTGCTTTGATGGTACAGATGCAAATACTTTAGTTAAGTATTTTAGGCAACGACAAAGAAACGAGGAAGATTTTTTCTTTGCCTTTGAGGTTGATTTTGAAGGTTCATTGGTCAGTTTTTTTGGAGGGACAAGAAGATGAAGGAAGATTATTGTTTATTTGGTGACTTGATTGTGCATGATACAACATATCGTACAAACAAATATGAAATGATTTGTGGGCCATTTGTTGGGGTTAACAACCACACTCATAACTGTATGTTTGGTTGTGGGTTTTTATTGAATGAAAGAATTGAATCTTTTGAATGGTTGTTTCACACTTTTCTAGAAGCAATGGGTGGGTTGCATCCTAAGACTATTATGACTGACAAGTCTTTTGCAATGTCTTCTGCAATTTCTTCAGTATTCCCTAATTCCAAACATCGTCTATGTGTATGGCACATTTCTGAAAATTCCAAGAAGCATATAAGGGATTTGAGGAACCAGGATGGTTTTTTGGATCTTTTCGATCATGTTCTGAAACTTTGTCATATCATTCCTGAGTTTGACTATTACTGGAATAGGTATGTTCATTTGGTATTGTCTTTTGTATCTTGAGTGACATTCTTTTATTATATACTCCCTCTGTCCACCATAAATCTTTCCAGATACTATTCACACGGTCAAACTTTACTCACTTTGTTTGCTCAATTTTACTAGTCATTTCATAAAATAATATAGTCTTGTCACCTCTAGTTTTGTAGAACTTTTCATGTAGTTTATTACTATATAAATTTTATTTTAAAATTTTACTCCTATAATCAATTAAATTGAATTGAAAATAAAGTCGGTCAAGCCTCGTAACGCGTAATGGGAAGATCATACATGGACGGAGGGAGTATTATTGTCATTTTCATTATAAATTTTATTCTTTTTTCCAGGTTGGTTACAGAGTATTCGTGTATGAATAATGATTGGTTAAAGAAGCTTTATAACCTTCGAGAGAAGTGGTGCCCNACTATTACTGGAATAGGTATGTTCATTTGGTATTGTCTTTTGTATCTTGAGTGACATTCTTTTATTATATACTCCCTCTGTCCACCATAAATCTTTCCAGATACTATTCACACGGTCAAACTTTACTCACTTTGTTTGCTCAATTTTACTAGTCATTTCATAAAATAATATAGTCTTGTCACCTCTAGTTTTGTAGAACTTTTCATGTAGTTTATTACTATATAAATTTTATTTTAAAATTTTACTCCTATAATCAATTAAATTGAATTGAAAATAAAGTCGGTCAAGCCTCGTAACGCGTAATGGGAAGATCATACATGGACGGAGGGAGTATTATTGTCATTTTCATTATAAATTTTATTCTTTTTTCCAGGTTGGTTACAGAGTATTCGTGTATGAATAATGATTGGTTAAAGAAGCTTTATAACCTTCGAGAGAAGTGGTGCCCAACATTTTCAAAGGATTTCTTCTCTGTTGGTATTTTGTCTTCCCAACGTAGTGAGTCAACCAATCCTGCCTTGTCTAGGAAAGTAAGTGCAACTGCTACTCTATGTGATTTTTATCATTTCTTCTGTGAAACTGTGAGTGAATGGCGTAGTCATGAGAGGAGTGATAATGAACGATGTTGGGAGGGATTTCCAGAGATTTCTATCCCATATGTGAGTTTACTCTATCGAGCCTCAAGAGTCTACACCATTGATGCATACATGTTATTTGAGAAGGAATTTATCAAAAGCTTGTCTCTTAAACATGAGATCAGACATTCAGATGGCAGTTTGCTTCGTTATTTGGTGTATGTGCCAACTGACAGTGTTTTTCCATACTTTGTTCTCTATGATACTTCCACTGACAGTGCTAGTTGTACGTGCAAGCACTTTGAAGAAGCTGACATTCTTTGTTCTCATATTCTGCGAATTTATCACATTGATTGTGTTGAAAATATCCCAGGTTGTTATATTTTGAAACGTTGGTCACGTATTGCGAAGTCATTTGAAGAATCCCATATTGCTTCATGTTCTATGTTTCCTGTTTTACCTTCTGTTTGGCGCTTACAGATGCAAAGGAAAGTTCACAAAGTTTTGTCTTCGAGTGATTCCAATGAAGTAGCTAGGGCTTTGTGTGAGGAAGCATTTAACAAGTTGAAAGTCGATGTTGAAGCTCATGTTGGCAGCATTTATTTTTCTGATACTGATTCACCTCATAATGGAGAAGTTCAGATCAGTAATCCAAAGGGTTCGAGGAATAAGGGAGAAAGGAATGTTAGGCGGAAAAGTGTTAGAGAAAAGAAGACTAATCAAGCTAGAGGCCGAAAACAAGCTATCCACCGGAGTGCTTCTACATGTTCTGCAGAACTTCCAAGTTCAATGGTTTGTTCTTCATTGTTAGATACATGAATTATGATTTGTTCACTTTTTACCTTAAATGTTGAAATGTTTGAGTATACCAGGGTGGAAATATTTATCGGCAATGAATTGGAAATGTTCACTTTGGAGTTATTTTGAGTTCTGAAAAAGTTTATAGGCAATGAGTTGGCATTGGTTTTGTTTCTAGTGCTTTATTTTTTACTGGGCAGTATGTTAACCATTGGTTGTGTTTCAGTCTTTTAGCTCTCCAGCAATGTTTTATCATGGCCATGTATTCATTCCTTTGGATGTCACAAAATAAACCACTATCATCATAAAAGATGCTGACAGTGAAGGGAATGTCTCCTAGACCTGGGGTACTTCTCTCATATGTTGCACTGAATTTTATGCCTTTTTAGATCTCTGTAAGTTTTGTGTAATGAATACCATGACATATCCGAATGAGTACCAACACATACAAGAATGAACAATCTTTATTGTGAGAAATTAGTATATCTTTCCTACTTTATCATGGCCATGGAATTAGAACTGAATAAAAGTTTATGTAAACCTCTCGTACACGAATACGTATCTTTTCCTTCAGTGTGCCCCGCCTGGTGCACATGCCCGCTTGGCGGGCTCCATGCTCGTTATCCTTTCCTCCCATTCATAAGCTATGGCAGCCGTTCGCAACCACAGGGGCCCGCCATGCGAGGCCAGAGTGGGCTCATCGGTCAGCCTCCATTCGAATTTTGTTTCGATCTAGAGAGATACTACAAGTCCTCCGCCCCAGATTCCATATGTCACGTTGTCTCGTCCCCACTGCATCGAAGAGTACTTATGCACTATGTTCCGGTTCACTGATAAGGAAGATAGAGTTGGGGTGGGGGTCTACGATGTGATTCTAAAGTATGAACATGCTAACTATGGGTAGGAAGAAGGAACATTTCGGGATCTCCATCGATCGACAGAGCGGAACGACCAGAAAAAGAAGTGTTAGGAGCTAGCTTAAACGACTTCCTTTAGTTGAATCTTAGCCAGTTCAATATGGAGCCGCGTCGTGTCATCGGCGTGTCCCAACGACAGGCTATAGTATTGAATATTGGAAACCAATCCACTTGCAGCTGCCAGTGTCCGCCGGCTATGGCACCGTGTGAGCTTGAGGAACCATCCATGAAGAAAGCTGTTTGTTACGCACAGGTTGCTCTTGGGTTGGGTAACCATCCATGAAGAAGTATGACTCACATAGCCATAGATTAGGCAATTCACATTCTTTCTCGTGTGTTTTTTACAGATTTGACACATTATGTACTCACATTGTGTACCTAGACACATTAGAATGAGTACTAGCACACAAAACACTGAACACACACACACACATAGATATATATATATATATATATATATATATATATGAACTTTCCATTCAGCAACGTCATCGTACCCGACTCAATTTCAAACAAAAAGAACCTCTGCTGAAAGTAATATACATTTCTCAAACCCAAAAGTACATAACATCTGGTAACCACATCAATTTTCATAACAGCAATATTACCATTACACTAATATAACCACATAAGTTTTCATCAACATTAAAATTCAGTTATCCATAGTACTAATATAACCACACACAAAAAAGTTGTCATCATCATATGCTTCAGCATCAAGTTTCAGCATTAGTCTTTTTCCTCCTATTTCCCCTTAGCTGCTTTCTTGATTTCCCTTTGAGCAATTAGTCCAGATTTGATTTTCTTCACCACTTCCTCCTTCATCTCATTCTTTTCAAATGTCAGCATCTCATTCAAGTATCTTGTCCTCAACTTTTGCATCAGCTTTTCCTACAAAATTCCCAATTTTAAACCATTCATTTTTAAAATTTTCATGTATAGAGTAATATTTGTGTTACCAAGAAATCTACCAGTACTTACATTTATGTTTTCAAGCCCACAATCCCATTCTGCTTCCCCTTTATATGTCTCCATGAATCTCATAGCAAACACTCCTGAGTCTGTACGACTTTTCATTACATTCAGTCCCACATCTAAGCACTCTGGTTTCAGCTTCTGTACTTCCGTTGCTCTTGGATCTTTTTTTTCCCTTAAGCCACTTTACAAAGGCACTTCTCTACAATGGACATATAAAAAATAGGAAGTAATGTTATTTAAATAATGTTTAAAGAAAAATCTTTAATGGAGCATTTCTTAAACAAATCTTACCAAGTGGTTTGGATGGAAAATATATCTTACACCTATTGCAACTGTAGTCTCTTTACTGTCAATTATGAGAAACTTCATATTTCTCAAGTCAAAACACATTAAGTGGACATGGTCTGTCAGCTTTGCTGGGAAGAAAAACATATTTGTACTCCTCACCCTGTTTATTGACATTGGACACATTTTCTCCATACTCTCCACAAAGTTTTTGTTTCGTGTTTCTGAACTTCCAACATTGTAATCCAACACATCCTGCAAATTTGAACTTAAAAAGTCATTATATTTATTTAGGAAAACTACTCTACTGCTTGTGATTTTATTTTAACATACACAAATTTTCGTTGGGAAGAACACTTTGGCTGATGAGTCATTGCTTTTGAACTTCTCTTTGTGGTTAAGAATATCAGTCCACAAATCTATGATTTCAAAAGAAACTGCTGAGTTCAGTTTCAAGCTTTGGAAGTGCCCTTTCTTGATTGCTCTGTCACCTTCCTTGTATAGCACATTACTGATACAAATAAGAAATCATAAGTATTCCATGTCATCAAGAATGAGTTCAAATTAATGAACATTAAGAGATACCAAAATGAGTGCTACACCAAAAAATAGTAGTATGCACATAATTAATTGAAATAACTTACTCATCACTGTCTGCTGAAAATGTGAACGCTTCCACCATTCTCTCTTCAATTGTCAAGGTAGACCTTATGTCTACAATTCTATTCATGAATGGCGACCTTAGTGCAGCTGAAAGTGCAACATCTCTCTTTTTACCCTTTTGTCGTTTTGCAATTCTTTCTGGACATTTGTCTTGATTGCCTTTTTTATTCTGCTCAACTTCTCTATTGTTTTTCTCCACTACCATGTCAAGAATCCGGTCTTCACTTGGAACTTTTTTTACATTGGCCACATCTGCCACATCTCCCCCACCTCTGACATCTGCCTGCAACTCTCCATTCTCTGTGTGTGTAGGTTCTGTTACATGTTCTACATCTCCCACAACTTCTATAGCTTCTGTCACTTGTCCCCCATCTCCCACATTTTCTTCTATCACACCTCCCACATCTGCTTCCACCCAATCCCTCTCTTTTTCTGCATGTTCTGTCACACCTCCCACATCATCAGCTGCCACCCCCAATCATGAACCATCTCATTATCACGTCTCTCTTGGCTTTCTTGTGAAAGTAGCCTAAAGGTTGGCCCATCATACTGTGCTCTCTCTCTTGTCGCCTTTTTTGTGCTTTTTCTATAGCATCAATAGCCTTCATCACTTCTTCACTTTTCCAATATTCATCATCTTGACTAAAAGTCCATTCCTTTTCTCCTTCTCTTGTGCTTTCTTTCTCTTCTTCTTGCACATTCTCTTTTGAATAACCATCCAGCAGACTATAAACCCTCTCTACCAGCATTTTCATTGCTTCATCATCTGGCAACACTTGAACAGCTGCTCGAAGCTTTTCATCAAATGTAGATATTGCTTCTGCCAAATTCTTTGTGGCTGAAGCAAATGCTTTTATAACATCCTGCAATGAATTGCATTTTACAGCATTTTTACCATGGTCACATATTAATATTTTTGAGGAAATGAATAGTACTATAACCTTACCATTTTTTCTTTCTAAACATGTAATTCATCTTGATTTCCACCATCACTTTGGTTTGTCTGACTTTCTTTGTTGAGATTTGGACTTGTCAGTTCAATCTTTTCAACATTGGGCACATCGATGTACCCGTAACCAAATCCACCGCTCTTTTTTCAGCCCTTTCTCGTTCCCACAGTAGTCTTGCGTTCCACCCAACGAAAGAGGGGAACTGCCTTTGAACTCTTCTGCTTTTGAAAATGACATTGTCAACATAGAAAACCTGATCATCATTTCATCAAATAAATGTGTTAATACAACACACAAAATATATAAACATTTCAGAAAACAAATATAAAATTTAGAACTTACAATTAAAAACAGCAATGGCCCTCCAAAGAATCTGCTTTTGTTGGCTTTCCAATAATCTGTTGCCTCTATCAAACTCTCCAAGGTATATGAACACCAGTTAAGGTTTTTTATTTCAGACACGTTTACCAAAGCATTCACAATTTTATGTGCTGGTGAACAATTCTGCTTCCCTTCAATTAGAAAACTGACAATCAATACCATTAAATTCCTTTTGAACATTTCTCCTCCTCCCTTATTCTCTTCCACATTTTTTCTCACATCTGCTATTCTAACTGTCCCTTTCTGAACTGGAAATTGTAACTTCCAAGCTCTCATCACTTCTCTTGCTTCTTCCGATTTCTCTCCATTCTTTTTCATCACACTTTCTCCTCCCATTGGAAATCCGATGGTGCTATGAATGGAAGTCTCATCAATGTGAATCTCTTTTTTACTTGGCAACTTCAGCAAAACACTTCTGGTATCAAAATTTTCCACCAGCCAGTAACCTAACTGCAGAGGAAGATGCGTGATATCCAACTGTAACAACCTACCAAACCCCATTTCCCTAACATCCTCTTTTTGTTCTTCACTCAGATTTTTTAACAGTTCAGTTATTGTTTTCGGTGACATCCTTGTCTTTACGGACTTCACACCAATCTTATTCAGTTCTCCTTCTTCTCCCAGCACCCGCTTCTTTCTCTTTCTTTGTTTATTTCTCTCTCTTTTCTTTCCACTGTTGCACTTTTCTTCTTTCTAGCACATTCTTCCTCTTCACTACACTCTTGTTCAGTGTTTACTTCATCTTCACCAATTTCTTAGTTAGTCTTTAGCTCATCTCTCGAAGTCCTTTGATCAGTGTTTTCTTCGAGCTCAACTTCCGCTACCAAAAATTTCTCACCGTTTAATTGATCAATCTTTTCAATGCTCGGCATTTCATCTTCTTGTGAAATTGGATCTTCTTGAGCTTGATTCTTTTCCTGCTCAGCATTTTCTTCCGGTATCCCTTTCTTTCTCTTTCTCAGTTGCTTTTTTCTCCCAAACATTGGTTCCTTCTCAGTCCCTTTCCTTTTCCTCAGATTTACTTTAGTAAAAACACTTCGTTCTTCACGTAGTACAGGGATTTCCATGATGGCTTTTTTACTGCATAATTTTCAAGCACATTTCAATAAGATTTTTAGCTACATAATTCAATAACTGAGTACTATTCTGTAATAGAATGAATACCAGCAGTTATGAGAATGATCATATTCCTACCACACACAAAAATAATAACCTTGGGCTTTAAGTTGTCTATACAGAATGAGACTGATCATATTCAGTATTTAGAGTATAATTGTAACACCCTAATCCGTCCAGGTTTACAACCCCTTCCGAACTAAAGTATTAACTTGGTAATCGTATAATTTAAAACATTTCAAATAACTTTATTCATCATAAATGAAATTCCAAACATAATTGTAGTAAATACGGAGTGTTTAATGCGGAAGCGATTTTTAAACATGATTCATAATAACATAATCATTTATTTTCTCAATAAATCCACCACGATTGTCTCGCCCCTTCCGCTGCCAAGAACATGCCATTCACTCATTCTGTCTACCTGCGTGTAGCAAATAAAACATACTACACGCTCAGCGATGAAGCTGAGTAAGCATATCTAAAGCGTCGAACATCCAAATAAATTGAATCTCAATTCATAATCAACCATTTGATATCATGCACACAATATATGATTCAAACATTCATGATATTCTCAATATTTTATTCCAAGTCATTTGATATTCAATATCTCAACCATGCTCTTAAATTATTCTTAATCTAAGGCCAAATCATTTTATAACAAGCTCTTAGCTATTTCTAGTCTAAGGCAACATTTCTAACCAGGCCCTTAAACTATAAATAGTTTAATGCAGAACACAAGAATCGATAATCCACCCTATGAGTCGTGTGGATTACGTACCAACCGAACAATGATTTGTCGGGTGGGTGATATCTGTTCTGGATCCCGTACGTACGTTTTAACCCCGA